GGGCTCAATTCTAGGGCCAGTGCTGTTCAATACATTTATCAACGATCTGGAGGCAGCAGTTGAATGCACCATTAGCCAGTTTGCTGATGGTACCAAACTGGGAGGTGCTGTTGACTGTCTTGAGGGACAAGAGGCCTTGCAAATGGATCTGAATAGAGTGGAGCATTGGGCAATCATCAATGGCATGAAATTTAACAAGAACAAATGCTGGATTCTGCACCTGGGATGGAGTAACACTAGGCACAAGTATAAACTGGGAGAGGAGTGGCTGGAGAGCAGCCCTGCAGAAAGGGATCTGGGGGTGCTGGTTTGACAGCAGCTCAATAGGAGCCAGCAGTGTGACCTGGCAGCCAAGGGGGCAAACCCCATCCTGGGGGGCATCAAACACAGCATAACCCACCGGTGAAAAGGGGTGGTTATCCTGCTGTATTCAGTGCTGGTACAGCCTCACCTTGAGTATTGTGTGCAGGTCTGGGCCCCACATTTTAGGAAGGACATGAAGGTCCTTGAATGTGTCCGGAGAAGGGCACCAAAGCTGGGGAAGGGGCTGGAAGGCATGACCTGTGAGGACCGGCTGAGGACACGGGGTTTGTCTAGTTTGGAGAGAAGGAGGCTGAGGGGCGACCTCATTGCTCCCTACAGCGTCCTGAGGACGGAGGAAGGGGAGAGGGAGGTGCTGAGCTCTTCTCCCCTGTACCCAGTGCCAGGGCGTGTGGGAATGGCTCAAAGCTGCACCATGGGACATTCAGACTTGACATGAAGAACCATTTCTTTACTGAGTGTTGAAGAGGCATTTGGACAATGCCCTTAATGACATGCTTTAGCTTTTGGTCAGCCCTGAAGTGGTCAGGCAGTTGGACTAGATGGTCGTTGTAGGTCCATTCTAACTGAAATTATTCTATTGTATTCTATTCTGATTTCTTTAATACTAAAGGAAAGCAAATCATTATTATTCTGATAATTTGAAGGACATTATGAGCCTGCAAGTTATTCAAGGGATAAATAACTGCTAAATATGGCTTTTACAATTTGTAGTGCTAACCAGGATAACGTGACTCTAGAGACTCTACAGCATTTTTATTCTGTTGTGATTCACTGTATCATAATCTTCCCCCTCCCTGCCCCCAACTAGTCTGAATAAGTTTATAGGGTTTATATAAGTCTTTTCTATAATAGATGCTTTTGTTTACAAAGCAAAAAAACCTTTATCAAAGAAAACAATGCAGAGGACTAGAAAGGCAGTTGAGTGGCCTGAAGTAATATTCAAATCTTTAAAGGTGACTGCACCTCTTCATGCACCAAGTCATGATGTGATTTAGAGCCCCTTATAACAACAAGGGGTAAAGAACAAGATGCTGAAACTTTCATATTTCTTATGAACTGTGTTTTACAATTCCCTGTTGTAAGGGGTTTCCAGTTTGACTGTAATTTACACGGTTGGCTGTGGTAGACTAGGTAGAAGTTAAGGGAAACTCTTTGATGGACTATGCTCTGTTTTGGAAAAGACTAATAGTTCTAGTTTACAAATGATAAAGACTTCCACGATGGGCAGAAGGGCTATTGGTCCAGCTCGGTTTTCCACCTCCACAAGAAAACTTCTTCCCAGAGAGTCCTACCATGTACGCTGTGCTTGCCCCACTCACATAAAGCTGGTTTTGAGGCTAGCCCACAAGCCCTGTGACTCAAGTGGAAACATGTAAGCATCGTCTTACTGGTTGTTGTGGTAACTGAAAGTAAATGTGGATCTTGTTAATGGTGTACCTCATGCGCTTAGTCAATACAAACATGTGTAACACATGAAGAGTTAATAGTTTTTGAAGTTTAGCGGGGACAACTGCTAATATACGAGGTAGAGCACTGTCGTTGACATGCCACCGCAGACGAGGTTTTTAGCTTAGTGTTTTTTTCTTTCTAATAGTTGTAAATACCTCTCACCAGTACTCCAGGAAAGTGAGGCAGCTAAAGAAACCAAACAAAGATTAACCTTTAACCACTGGCCGTGCTTCTGTTAGCTGTAGCATTGGCATGGTGATAACCATCTGACAAGATAAATGCCTGGTTTTGATGCCAGTCTGTTGGAATGTTATTATTTGTTCTTCAGGGAAATAAAATTATTTTTGTAGTTCACAAGGGAAAAGAGCAATGAGAGTATACAAAATACTTTCAAAGAAATAAATACGTGTGCCTGGGAATTTATGAAGCTCTGCCAAAACTTTAAGCTAAACTACAAGAACAAAAATGAATGATGTGACTTCTAGGAAGTCTTGGCTCCTGACACTTTACACTGTAAAAGATGCCTTTTAAATTAATAACTCTAAACATCTGTTACATTAAGTGAGGCAGCTCTGAAGTACATTCGCGCAACTAATAAACTAAAGAAAAGTCATTTTTTGCTGACTTCTTCACTTAATTTTCATCTCTTAGATTCAAGTTATTTGCTTTAAGCTTTTTTGCAATATATCAGCTCAACTGCTCTGTGTCGTCCAACATCTGCTGGGAATTTGATACGTAAAGGACTTCTAGTCTATTTAAGGGAAAAGTCCAGTTTCCCCGAGATACGTGTTTTCAGCTTTCTGAGGACTATATTAACTTTGTAGAAATTACAGGCTTCACAAGTGTGTGAATACTAATGACGTGAGTGTGTGAATATCATTGATGATGAAGCCCTCTCGTTAGCGTGACAAATAAAATCACGCTAAATTTTAAGGTCTGTTTTGACTCATCCAGAAGGTAGACATTCTCTCTCCAAGTAGTCTACGTGGCTGTGTTAAGTAGGAGAGGCACATTCAGAAAGAAACTGCCTGTACCTTAACAACTTGGTTACAAATGGAGGGAAACTTGGATGTGCTGTTCTGGCTCCCATTGCCTCCTGCAGAGGAACGGTGGGACTGGGAGTGCCTGGTCTCAGATGGTCTCTTTGAAGGCTGAGATGCTGCACAGTGATTCCCACTCATTTTTCTTTAGAGAAATTACAAATAAAAAAAAAAGAACTCAAATGCAAAAAATTGGTAAATTCTGGAGTAGTATGAACTCTGTCTACATTCCTAAGTGTCTTCAGTTTCAGTAGGAATCTTCATGACTTCTTAGCATCACTTAAGAGGTTTGGAAGATATTTGTGGTTTAATGTCCTTTTCTTTTCTGGTTTTGAAGATCTTGTTTGATGCATCTGGTTTGCTCACAGTGTCTTCAGAAGATACTCTTTCCACCTGAAAACCCATACATAAAGTTTCTAGTCAGGGGAAAAAGGGTTAAATAAGTGTTTAAAACATGGGTGCTTAAAAGATATTTTTGTTTTCGAAGTTGCACCATAAAAACACAATCACAGCTGTGTCTTTTCCAAGATGTGCTAGGTATATTTATATTGACGCAGTAAAATAAATAACGGACTAAATTTGGACCCTGAAATTTAACCCTGTTGGTGGAATTTTCAGAAGTGACTGCCAGGGTTTGTTTTATTTATTGGCCTTAGTAGTAGTTACTGTTGCACTGGCTTTGATGGTAGCAGAGCTGGATTTTAGAAAGTGTCTAATTCTGTAGTTTTACAAAAGATTTATTAATATTTTTAGGATAAGCCACTACTTGCCAGCAAGTTATTCAGGTTGATACATACGTATGTCAATGAAGAATCACTTAAGTACCATGGATTTTAGTCTGAAATCCCTGTCTATATTTTAATCTTGAATAAAACCTGTTCTCCTATACAGAAACCTATTCATGCACTGATGCTCTATAATTGTGCTATACAAGCAAGGTGAAATGTCTATAATACACGCACTTATGCTGCATGCCAGATTTTACACCTTGGCTTCTGTCAGCTACTTCAGATTCGGAAATGGATCCGTGTGAAGGTGTATGCGATTGTCTTTCTCACCAAAGTGGCTGGTTCAGCTCTCCGGCAGGTTTTAGATGAAGGGCAGGCTTTGGACTCCTACTGTTAGGGCTCCATGATCAGGGTGTGTAGGAGATGTGCTTAATCAACACATACTGCAGTTGGAAATGATTGTAAGAGTTTAAATGATACCAAGCAATGAAAATAAGTTCTTTCAGAAATCCTCAACTCTTTTAAGAGAAGTAGCTAATTCTCAAACATCTTTTTGCGTATACAGTCAATAAAAACTCTCAGTGGAGTATCTGAAAAGTTGCTATGCATATGGTTATTTTTGTACTGTCCTGTGACTACACAGGAAGGACTACTGTGGGATCCTTATTGTTGACTTATTCTTACGAAGAAGGGTGGAAGAAGCAGTTGCTGCAGGAATGTTCTGGAAGTGCCTGTTGGTGGGAGTGGATGACTAAGTATAAAGTCCTGCTAATCACAAAGCTGTATCTAATGACACTCTCTGAATAGTGACTTTGGAAACAAATACTGCTTTATGCCCTTGAATATCCTGGATTGTTCTGCTGGCTCAGCTTACTCTTGTGCCCTGTTCCTCAGACTCCAAAAGGTTACAGCTCCTGGGTGTATCTAATACCTAATTTTTGTGATTAAGTGTGATTGCCACGTGCGTCACAGAAGGTGCACAGTGGTCTGGGTTTATAAGGGCCAGGGTGTGTGTTAGCTAAAAAGAAGCTGTTTTTTCAGGGAATATGCAGTCCTGGAAAGAAGCAATGGTTTTGCTGCTGAGAGCTGCTGTGCGTTAGGGGTGGAAGGAGAGGCTTCCCGGGGGGCTGCCCGAAGCAGCCCTTGCTGGCAGGCTCTCCCCGTGGCTCTGGGGACAGCCTCTTCCAAAAAGGAGCATCAGCAGAAACATGCCGCTACGCTCCTCAGGAACCAGGTGTACTGCAAATATGTTCCAACTTGTGTCAGCAAGGCTAACTACCACTGATTTCCCCCCCGCCACCTGTGTGGTTTTGTAAAGGAGTTATGAAACCAGTTATTTCATGAGCATTCTTGAAGAGAATCACTGAAGGCACAAGAGTGAAGTTTGTTTTAACAGCTCTAACTGACAAAAAACCCAAGCCAAACCAGTTTATTAATCAGTTTACCTATTTGTTTTCAGCAACAGGTACGCAAGATGATGATGCAACAGGGGGAAGGATCAGAAAGTTAAGTGTTGGGCAGTATGACAATGATGTGCCTGGGCAGCTGTCATATAACAGGTGTGGATGGATGAAGTCTCCTGCGACGGACCAGGCTGTAAATCCAGGGTCACTGATTCCTGTAGGGGACAGCAAGGAGGTAAACAATGAAGAGTTTTTCAAGAAATACTTGTTGAAGCAGATGGCCAATAGGGAGTCCCATATTCATGTTCAGTGTCCAAAATCAGTGTGAAGCAATTGGGCACTTGCACCCTGGCAGTAAGAAAAATAAATGACTAGTTATCTCCAAAATGCAATTCAATGTTTAAGGATGTCCTGCTCTTGTCCTCTCTGTGTGTTTGCATGTTTTCAGTGTTCCAAGATCTCTCTCTTGGAACAGTGGATCAGACTATATGAAACCACCTGTAATCTCATGAAAAATGCCTCACTGTGTTGTAGGGTTAAGTGGGAATTTTCACACTGTAATTTTGGGGTTTTGTGCCTTTCCTAGATGGCTGTTGCGCATTACCAAGATGAAATAGATGGGGGAATCTTCTCTCCAACAAAAAATGGAAATGAAGCTGTCCCATCCACACCAGCTTTTCCCCTGTCACCAGAGACATCATATGGTAAGGAAATGTCTCTCTATGTATTTTAATAGCACTATTAACATTTTAGCTATTACTGAAGAGGAATTGTACTTTTCCTTCTCTCCTAGTAAAAACACCTCCGCTATACCGTCAGCGGATTCCCTCCAGCCAAAAGGTCAGCAGCCCGTCTGAGCTGTACAGAACCAGTCCTGGTAAGATACCCCTGATTCCTAAACCATTTGAAACTGAACTGTGCTTGAAGGCAACTAACACAACAGTGGTTATTCCTTTATAAATAGGACTTAATATCTGATAAATTTAGACATGTGCAAGTCAGAGAAATAGAATTTAGCAGTACTATTTTAATCATATCAAAAAGAAGTAAACAATGAAGAATTATCCAAGAAAGATTTAATGCTGTTAATTTCCAACAGGGAGTCCCATGTTCATGTTCAGTGTCCAAAATCAGTGTGGAGCAATTAGGCGTTTGCATCATGGCAATAAAAGGAAATGCAATTCAGTGTTTGAGGCTATCCTGCTCTTGTTCTCTGTATGTGTTTGCATGGTTTCAATGTTCCACAATCTCTCTGTTGATATTTGATAATATCAAAATAGTACTATCGGGAGACTGGAGTTCTGTGTGATTTTTAGTAGGTTTTGTCTCCATCTGAGGAAAGAGGCGTGATATCCATGTTGCCATTTTTCCAAGCAAGTGAAGCTGACAATAGAGCTTGGCAGTAGCTATGCTCAAGTCAAGGAGATCCTTAATCAAAGAAATGAATGTTCTGGAGGATTTTTTGCCACAATACAGTTTGTTGGTAATAGTTGATTACATGGTTAAAGATTTAATGTGATCTAGCTATGAATTTTATTAATAAAAGATTCTTCTTTGGGGCCTTAACTCTTTGCTGCTAAATGTAGCAGCAAAGCTATTGTTAGCTGTTACCTTTTTTTTTGTGAAATTTTTTAAAACAATAAGTTTTAAAAAAAAAAGTCAACGTGACTGCATCAGAAAGTTCTGGACATAGAAGGAAGCCAACAGAATTTGTATGAAACCTGAATAAAAATCACAGACGTTCATTTAAATTGTATGCATTAGAAGATGTTCAGATGATAATTCATGTGTATGTGTAGTTTTATTGCTTATGCTATGGCTCAGGCAGGATCTTGATAGTAGAGTTTCCAATAAATTTGACGGTGGATTTTGATGCAATAGTAGTTACAGTGTTGTGGTTTTAACTTTGGAAAAAACCCCTTCCAGTTTAATTTGCCTCATTTAATAGTTATCAAAAGCAAATAACATCAACACAGAATAAAATTATCTTTAGTAATAAAGCAGTGTTCTACCCAGTTCAAGACATGTCTTTATGATTCAGTTGCTGTGGCTTTGCCCTTTACTTTCTCAACTCTTAAACAATTAGTGGTAGATATCCTCCAGAGGGCAGCTTCAGCAAATCAATTACAGGTTGCTTACTGAGTTAATCTGCTGAACACTTTGTTTTTAAATGGTTTCCATTGGTGTTGCTAAGATTTAGGACTTGCCCTGGAAAATTTTGTGGCTTTCATTCTATTTCTCTATTTTGTTGGTAATTCTCCTGCTTAATTCCAAATGCTGTCATCTCTCAAATGCTGGGTTTAGATACACAGTTAATGGGACACTGAAAATAATTACTCTAGCTTAGACCAAAGCAGGTAATTCTCCCTTTGAATACCCCTTTAAAATGATGCACAAGGTGTACTGAATGCAACAGGTAAAGTGCTTGCCTCCCTATGGCTTTGCTTTTAGCCACAAACGTAATGTACTTTGACACTAAGGTTAAAGATATATGAAGTGGGTCAGCTAGAAAACATGCAATACACCATTGGTGAGCACCTCTAAGAAACGTTAGTTGGGTGACTTTCCCACCAGAGCACAGAAACTTCTGTTGCCAGAGGCAATATTAGAGTCCTACTTGAAATATTTTTTTCTTTTCTCTCTTTTCCCTTCACTATTCTACTTTATTTGTTGCCTGTATCTACAGTAAGTATCTATTTACTGTATTTACTTGCTTCTGTGTCTTCGGACTTCAGCAAGAAGTGAAGAAAACGTCTTCTCATTACGTTTGCTGCCAAACCCTAATTCGTGGCGAGAGCAAGAGCATTGTGTTTTGTGCGTTGAATGAGGCCAAGAATCTGAAGGGAACAGAAGTAGCTGTTCCTGTGGTTGAGACTGCTCTAACGCACGTGCGACAAAGGTGACTCTAATAGTATGTGCTTTGCAAGAATTCTTACAGCCCCCGTTTTTAGTACTTTCCTTTGCAGCCTTGCTGCTCTTTTAAATGCTTTCATGGTTTTTATTTTAGTAGATGTTGGGAAACATACTGACTTCTCCAGGGATTTTCAGCAGATTGAGGCCTTTGGAGTCATGGACTCTGGAGTCTTAATTTCTGCCATTAAGATACTGTGCCTTTTGTCTCAGTTCAGATCACCCTTGAATTCAAAATAGTTTTGTTCTGCATCTCAGCTTTGCTGCTTATCTGCATTCCAAGTTAGTAGTGAGGATGCTGTAACATCTGGCTACCAATTATCTAGATACATCACTGTCTTATTTCCTCCCCACTTCCTTGTAGAGAACAGCTTTCAGTGTAGTTAGCACTTAGCATATCAAGGGAGAACTGCTGTGGGTTTAGAAAAGGGTAAAAGTATACATTTTACTACGCTACGCATTTTAAAAGAACAATACATGGTTTTGTGTATTCTGTATTCAAGAATTACAATGACATCCACTCTTTACGTATACAAAGTGATAAAATTATCTGTTCTTTTTGTAAGTTATTCTTGTTGTAAACTGTGTACCTTCTATCTTGAATGCATCCAATTCTGATTCTTAAACTATTTCTTGAAGTGAAGGGCACTGTCTTCACTGAAGCCTGACAAAACCCTGTATCAAATGGTGCTCTGTTAGCCCTAGAAATCTTAATTTTCTTTCCAGGTGAAACCATTTTGTTAGGGAAAGACAGTCCAGTGGTGTTCCATATCTGTCTCCCTTTCATTAGCTATGCCCTACCTCTTCTTTCTCCCCATACATTTCTTTCAGACGCCCTGTCTGCGCCAGCTAGGAAAAGCAGGATTCCTTTCCAGAGCCTTGTCCTTTCTCAGATGGGCACAAGTTTCGCCTCCCTCAGTCCGTGTTCAGGCACACAGCCCTTTCCCGTCAGTGCTGCTGCTCCGCTGATCACTTGCTGCCGTGGTTTCGTTGCCCTTCTCCTCACTTTACATAGCTTGCAAGTAATACAGCGCCCGCGGAGTTCATTCTGAATTATCTTTTGAAAGACACCTTGTTTGTTAAGACAAACTTGAGCAGTCTATAAATTGGCTGGTTTTGTAAATACCCCGTGAAAAAGCAGGCTCCAGATAGAACCCAGATAGAGCTCTCGAGTCACACAATAGCCATTGTATATCCCACGAGAGAGTCCCACGCAGCAGTGGAGGAACAGAAGCGCTATTTGTAGGCTGTTCTGAAGCTTATAAAGGCTCTCTTGTCTCGGACAGCATACAGCTAATTGAGGTCCCTTTGTATACAGAAGTAACAGATAAAACCGCGGCAAGCTCCTGGCCGGAGGACTGAGCTCTGGCTGACCAGCCCGGCCACCCCAGCCCTCGGGCTGCCCCTTGGTCAACCCTGGCCAAAGCACAGACGGAGCTTTGCAGAAAATCTGCGCTCACAGACGGGCACTGTCTTGCAGCGGAAGGCAGGGATCTGCGGAACAAGGGAAGATTGTCCATAATCCTTCATCCACGTACCGAAAAAGAGGAGACGTGATGTCCCATTTTTCCGTCTTTTCTGAACAGCCGAAGTGAACTCACGTAGTTCAGACGGTGCGTACGGTGGAATGGTAGCACGGCTGCTGGTGTGAGGGATCTCGGAGCCTTCAAGGACGTGTCAGGCCTTGCCGTTTCATACCCGCCATGGAGCTTGGCCTAGGTACTCCACTCAACGCTTGTGCTACGCACACAAGCTGCATCTTTTCTAAAAATTGCCAGAAGGTCATCTTTTCTCTTCGTGCTGTCATGGAACTCTTCAAGACCAGACACTGGCGTATTTCCATGGGTTTTTTTTTCATACAGATTCTGTTTTTATCTGACGGAGGCATTGTAATCCTAAATTCCCCCCATTGACTAACATCGGCTTACTCCGTCACATCACCCAGCAGAGTGATGTGTTCCATAAATCTCTTGGGAGGCAGAACCGCAACCTAACAGATATCCTCCTTACTGCATAATTCTATTACTGGTTATAATTTTATACTGTTGTGATTTCATACTGTTATTCCAGGATTGTAATTCCTGACAGTCACTGAGTTGCAAGGGAAGTGAAATGTACTGCTTAATTGTTTGATAAAAAAAGTCAAGGTTCTGAACTGAAAACGTTTTCGGTGTGTCAGGAGGGTTAGTAGCATAGGGAATAAAAGTGATACTAATTTATGAGAGGGAAAAATTCCCAGTTTATGATGTGCAAAAAATTTCTCCACAATATGAGAAGGTTTCAGATAATATTTACACCTGCTTTCCTCTTCTCCCCTTAACTGTTTATATAAGGTGTACATGTCCAAAGCAAGAGATAGGTATGGAGCTTTTCCAGACATCTGGGTTTATTTGCTTACACCACCAGTGCATCCACTTCAGTGGGTGGTTACCATAAGCTCTGTCCTCCTGGAAACAAAGGTGCATTTTGATTTCTGCTGCTGTTGTGATTTTGGGTTGGGGTTTTGGGGAAGTTGTTTTGGTTTGTTTTTTTAGTTTTGTGGGGGTTTGTTTGTTTGTTTTAAACATTGAGGCTATTAATGAGCAATAAAAAAATATAAGTAGAGACAAGAAATTTACGATGTTTACTACAAGGCAGACAGACAAGGTCTGTGTTATGTTTTTCACTTTCCCACAATTGACCTTGACATGTTTATCTTGTGGCTAAATACAGTGCTCATCTCCACAATATTTTTGTAATGAAACAGTTAATGTTTCTTAGTTATGATAAAATATACCATTTACTAGTGCATATGAAGCCTCTATAGGCTTCAGGAGCAAATAGGAAAGGACTTCGTTGGGATTCTACCAACATGAACTTAATTGGGTCTTCTAGAAAGAGCACGTGAAATGCTGTAAAGCATAGTCATAAGTGTTCAGAGGCTGCTTCTTGGGTGAAGTCAATATAATGTGCTATGATCTGTGTCAT